TGAGTAAATGAGTTTCTATCTCCAAGACAGACAGGGTCCTTCCAGGGGACTGCATTGTTATTATCCCTTTTCTATTATATCATACAGCAATGTGAGAGTCCCTCAAATATCCAATTTTGTACCGCATCCTCAAATCTTCAGATCAGCTCTTAATATCAGACCAATTATTTAAGACAAACTCTCCCCAAGGAAGAGATAGGGTTCACTTGGAAAAAACTGCCTATCATTCAAATGACTTGTATTTTAACGTGTGTGGGGTCTCTAGTGCTCCGACCTCTTCATACCACCGACCTCAGCAGGTTAGACCCTTGGGTGCTGTGCCCCTTCGGATGTGGTCTGCACAGATGCAGAGAGAGAGGTCTCAAGTCTCGCACCTCAGATGTGGTTTATAATGTACAAGAATGAACATCCTATTTCGCTTCACATCATTTTGTAAATCACAAGGTGCTTGATTTCTTTTGTTGTTTTTTTCTCTCTGCTTTGTATGTTTCCTTCCTGAAGGTACATTATCTTCTAATCTCAGGCATTTGCTCGAGAAAAGAAAATCTCCTTGCCTGAAACACAGTTTCTCCATCAAAACCTTTCCCCTGTTGAAATGCCACCTCCTTCAAGAAGCCTTCCACGATCAGCCCACCCTGTGGGACCTTTCCTTCTGAATACTAATGTGAAGATCACACACTGTGTAATCTTACATGAGAGGCTTCCATGTAGGCTCTTTGATTTCCCTCTGAATTATAATCTGTTCAAGGGTAACACCTCTGTAACACCTTTCTGCCCCTCTCACAATGCTCTGAGACCCATGACACCAAGAAAATGCTTGTTGAATAAATGGAAGCATTCTTGCTCCTCACTGATTTATCTTAATTCTAAGAATTATAGAAACATTCTTTCCAAAAATAACTCCTATTGGAAGTCTGGCTCACATAAAGAAAAGTGGGAATTGGGTTGAAGAACTAGACACAGAAAAGGGAAATTCTGGTGGGTTCACAAGTCGTAAACAGACAGTCAAAGCACCCTGAGACCATGTGGTTTCCAAGAATCCTTGACCCCTCAAAACATAGCATTTGGTCAACTGAGGCTGAATCTTCTGTATCCTGGCTTCATTTGGATTGATTTCACATTACTTATTGTCTTGGTTTCTGTGACCCTCCAGAAGAGGGACAAGGTCCTTCTAGAGGCATCTCTACTGTAGGCTTGTCGTCCAGCCCACAGTGATCATCACAGTTCAGTCTCTTGCTGACGAGTGTCCCCCTCACCCAAAAATGCACACACACTCCGGGACATCATACACTAACTTACGATTCAGCCTCCCTCCTAATTTCTCACTGCCTTCCTTGTTTCCCATGATCACATGAGTCATTATTTGTCTGCCCACCTTGTGATGTCTGCCCATCCTGAGTCCTACTCTTCACACAGCTTTCTCTGGGAACAGCTCCTCGGCTTGGAAGTCAAACAGACTGATTCAAATCCTGTCGCTGCCTCTTAGCAGCCACGTGACCTTGGATAAAACGGCCTTAGCAAGTCTCAGGCTTCACTGAGTGAATGCCGTAGCGCCCCTGATGGTGTTTTCTGCATACCTGGAATAGGGCAGCTTAACTATGAGCTGGAGTGGACCGTGTTGTCTAAAACCCAGTGACCACTGCATAATGCCACTGTGAAATACTCGGAGCCATGTGACAGCAGACGGGGAGAGGTGCGGACAGGCGCAGGGTCTCAGACTGAAAACAGGATGAGAGCAGGGATTTCTCTGAACTGAGGCTCTGTTGTTACGACAAAACGACTATTTCCCACTCAGCACCGTCCAGGGCCTCTCACAGTGACTCCTGCCCTGTCAGGGCTCGGCCTGGGACTGAACCCTGTTCCTTGTTCTGCTTGCTATCGCTCCCTCATTCTTTTTTTCTCCATCTCATGAGGGGTAGACCTCTGGAGGAAGATGTGGCTCCCAGCCCCATGCCCCTCTGGCAATTCCTTGGAAGACCCTGGCTTTCTAGTCAAGAGTCGAGGGACTTTGCCAAATGGCTTCATAACTTCTACCCCAAATTCTCTCTCCCATGTTAATCTTCTCCCCAACCCCTTCCTTAGCCTCTTAAGAGGAAAGCCAGCCTTGGCCTGCAGCCTACGATCCTTGCTGGGAGGTGGAAATGGTGTTAGTCCGGAGCTGGGCTGAGGCTCCCTGGGGCAACCCGACACTCTTCCAGCTGAGCCATGTCTAATGCTGAGCAGGCTGTGACCAACACCCCCCACGACGTGTGCCTTTATGGAAAAGTGCTGCAGGAGGGTGGCCTTCCTCCCTCCTAAGTGAGAAAATGAAGGGGGTTCCAGTGTCCCCACCAGCCAGCTGCTTCTCACCCTTGGCCCAGGCCCTTTGGTGCAGGCAGATGTGATGTGTTCTAACCTCCAAGCAGAGTGGGCTCAAGTCAATCTGCAGACAGAGAGCCACCCACAGGTGAATTTGGAGGGTCTCTAGTGCTCATCATGTACAACCTCCAAATACGCTCATGCCCTTGGGACCAAGGAGTACACCTATCACGGTGAGGCTCCTAAACTATCATGCGTTTCAGACTCTCTTCCCTGGGCTGTGTTCACATATTTATGACACTTAATCACATTGCAGAACCCGAACTGCATAGAACTGATGAAGACCTGAACACCAAGCAGTCTACTTACCGAGTGCTGCTAACTGCCTGGGCAATAGCCACAGGGTCCACCTGGGCACACTCACACCCAGGAACTCCTGGGCAAAGGCTGGCCATTCTGTACAGAGCCTCACTGGCTGTTAAAAGGTCCTTCCTTGAGTTTGGCCAGTGGGCATCCCTGCTGAGTCCTGCTTTGGTCCAGGTGTTACCTTTCTGGATGTTCATACATGCACACTGAGGAAGACAGCTTAACATTGCTACACACCATTACTGGGTCCTGGAATGCTGGCTGTAACTGTCCGCCTTCTGCTGGAGACAGCCAACAGTGCCTCCAGTTACTCTTCCATGGCAGAGTCAGGGGTTCCTCATTCCCCTGTGCTCTCCTCACTGGGCCCACTCTAGCCGGCCCATGTCCCCCTGCAGGGGAATGCCCAGAATTGATGATGGAATCAGTTCAAAGCAGAATAAGTAAGTCCTCTTTCACGGCCTGTTTTAGAAAATGCACCCTAAGCTCGGGAGTCATGTCATCTCCCATGCCTCGTCAATATGGGACAAACAGCTTAAGGTTAAGAGTAGAGGTTGGGAGTCAGATAGCATTGGACCAGCTTTCGTTCATTCTCTTTCTTACCTTGAGCTAGGGAGACTATTGAATCTGAGTGTCAGAATTTTTATTTTTAATCTGCATCAGGAGGGCGATGGGAAGTACTGATATAATGTGTTTGAAGTGCTTTGTATGGCATCTGCCACTTTGCTCATTATATGCTGGCTATTCTGCATTTCACTGCTGTCATCTCTAAACCCTGAAGTTCTTTCCACATGGGCTTCTGCTCAGTCATTCCAATTCGCAGGTGCTTTTCTGACAGATTGCAGGTCCTAACATCATTAAGTTCCAGTAAATTTGTTAAACTTGCCTATTTCTTTAGCCTGCTCTTTGGGATCCTGAGCATCTGGAGTTGTCTTCCTTGAATCTTCTATGTCCTCATCCTAATAAAGTATGAATAAGTAAGGTCAAGGACAGAGGCCCAGAACCAGTCCCCGGGACCTCCTTTCCAGATGAATGTTGATCTTTTAATTAGTACTGTTTGGCTGGGCTCACTCTGCCAGTCATGACCTTGTGAAATCTCCAAACTGTTTTATGAAGTCCTCTCCGAATGAAATTCTGGCTTTTTTGTGTGTTCTTTTCTTTAGGAAATATGCTATGTGTGTCTATGGAACACATTTATAGGAAATGTGTCTATAGAACATGAAAAACTATTTTTTTTTCATAAAAGGAGGAATTTTGACAAGAGAAATTTTTCACATGTAATTAAGGCCCCTAATCTATTGACTCTGAGTTAATAAAAAAAGGTCACCCTGGTGGGCCTTGGCTAATCAGGTGAGCCATAAAGACACTGGGGAGACTGGAAGCGAGAGAGAGTTTCCCACTGGCCTTGAAGGAGCACCTGCCATGCTGTGGAGAAGTCCATGTGGCCAGGACCCTAAATGGCCTCCAAGAGTTGAGAATGATGCCCAACTGACAGCCAGTAAGGAAATGGGACTTCAGTCCTACAATCGCAAGGAACTGAATTCTTGGAAAGCTTGGAAAACTTGAAAGCTGGGGAAAGGATCCTAGTCTCAAAGGAGATCAGGTTTGATTGATGCCTTGACTTTAGCTTGATGAGACCCTGAGCAGAGCACCAGTTACACTGTGCCTGAACTCCTGACCCATGGAGACTGTGAGATAATAGACACATGTTGTTTCCAGCTGCTGAGTTTGTGGTCACCAAGCAGTCTGTGCTGCCCCTGCTGTCAGGGCATGCTCCTCTGGGCCTTGTGCTGAGGTGGCAGGTGCTGCACAGACAGGTGATTAGGAGGAGCACAGGTTCCTTCGACTGCATCAGACCTGACAACTCACTTTAGCATGAACCCCTCCAAGACGTGGCAAAGGCATCAGCCTGGGGACAAAAATTGAAGCTTGGCCGAGGTGTAGGAATATGTGGGGATTGCATCAAGTATGCCAAACACTATTGTGGGGATCCCTCCAACTGCAAAGCCCAACAGGTTGTTTAAGACAAGAAGAGAGGACAGATCTCTTCCAGCAGAGGGGAGATCATGCTGGGATGGTGAGCACACATCAGGGCAAGCCAAGAGGGGGGAGAAGCAGAGAGAGAAAAAGGGTCTTTGTGTGATTACGGGTGGGAACTGGAGAGCACTTTGGAAGCAAGGGTTATTTTAACACACAATTTAAAAATTACTTATTTGGGAGAACTCAGCATTATCACGTTATCCAAAATCACCCCAGTTGTGGATGCTTGTCACACAGTTTGCTAATAATCTGTATGGTGGTGGGAGGGAATCTAACTAAAAACATCTGTTAAACGTGAATATGATAATCATGTCTTATTTTTATTATTTTTCTCATGATACAATCTTGAAAGAGTGGGATTGAGTGGAACCTGAGTAGATTTGCATTTATATGCAGAACGTAGGTGTGCCTTGACTTGGCATTCCAAAATAAAGTGAGTGATCTTTTCCATTAGGACAGTTTGGGTCACACCAGCTGCCAGCTTTTAAGCATTTATTCATTTCTTTATTTTCCCTAAGGAGATACAGGCATGCTGTGGCCCTCTCCCAAGCTGTGGCAAAATGACTGATAGTTGGATTTCTTTTAATCCATCCAAGTAATGCCGAGTGTCTGAAGCTTTGGTAATCGGATCCTACCGACTTTAAAGACCACTGCCAAAATACCCATAGCACAGAGGTTTGGCAACTTCATTTAATCATAGCAAAAGGATTACAAAGTGCAAAACAAGCCCCCAGACAGCTATGAAATGGGCCAATTCAGAAACTGACTCTGGCTGAGGAGCTGCTCAGGCTGGCTCCCTTTCACACTGCTGTGTGTTCTCCCTCTCAAACTGCCTTGGTCAAGATTGGCAGCGTTTGTGACACACAGAAGAGAAGAGATGTCAAGGGGAACTGACTCGAGATCATAAGAATGAACAGTGTCTGCTCATATGTCAGGCTCAGGGCTGGTGAATCCCAAACCATGGTGCCCAGGTTATCCCGCTGTGGGAAGGTTAATGGAACAGTCAGCTGGTCAGCCTCGGAAATAAAAGTCAAATGGCAAATTTAGAAGCTGTCCCTTGTCTCTTTAAAGCAAGAAATCGCAGTAGCCATGATGCTTTATCTACCAACAATAATACAATTTGTATTAAGAGCAATAGCTTGTTCACCCTTTGACAAATATTTTGTGATCATAGCAGGAATTAAGGGTGACTTGTGACTGGGTGCTGATCTGGAATTGCTCAATTATGACTTCAGCGTTAGAGGCCTCTTTCCATTTGAGGCCTCAGTATGGAGGCTTGGACATGAAACCTCTGATCCTTCTGCTCCAGCAGGGGTGAGGCATAAAAGAGTGGGCAAGAAGGATCTGCAGAGGCCACTGCTGTCTGGGCACCAAACATCCTGTTTGCTTGGTTCTCACTGGTACAAGTTTGTAGTCAGAATAAAATTCTAACATAAAACCCAAACATTCAGCACAAGTTTCGATTAGGCAACTTTAGTCACTGAAAAAGTGCAAATGCAGACTCCTGCATAGATCTGATTTGCCATGCTAGGCCAAGCTTATTTTATTACATACATTCTGCATTCTAAGAACTAATAACTTCGTATTGTAAACATTAAGCATACAGAGTTAAAATTCAAGGCCACATTATATCGTTGATTGTCTCTTTTGTTGTGTATCTTTGGCTGGCCGAGATCAACTCGTAGTGTATAAATGCATAAGTTATATAATTATTATATAAAAAGGAAAAAAAAACCCATTGACTTGTATACTTCATTCTGACAAACGCACAGCGTTCGCGACTCAAAAGGAAAACAGGAGCCCGTAACCCAAACGCCTGGGTGATTCTGGATGGTGGCAGCCAAGAAGGCGTTCTCTTACCTGACCCTCGGGGGAAAAGAGCCCCCACGTGATGATGAGGTCCTGAATGTTTCTTTTAAATATCAGACAATTCCAGTTAAATTTTTCTTTTGACAAACAAACAAGCAAAAGAGATGCATATTTTTGTTTCTGAATTCTACCACGTCCCCTTCCTCCATGACGCTGTGTCCTTCCTCATGACCCTGGGTTTGGCCTAACACTGACTGCGTCAAACCTCAAGGCTCCATGACGCCCTCTCCATGCTCCCAGAACTGCCCTAAGTCCAGTCTTGACGGCTTGAGAAGTTTCTTTCCCAGTCCTTACCCCTCCTTCTCTGCTGCCTCGTCTTCCACCTCCACCACCCCTCAGTCTGCACCCACACACCCACTCTCCATCCACGTCCTCGGTCCCTCTGCTCGGCTCAGAGTTCCTGTAATACTGTAAGGTTGGAGACTTCGGGTTGGCTTCACAGTGTGAGAGAGCTGGTAGCTCTCCATCCAATGGAATGAATGTGATCTCACCTAAAACAGTAAGTGTGGATGAGTCCCGCATCAGTGTCTGCCGATGGGCCACTGTCTCTCGTCTTTGTTCTTTTTTCTTTTTGATATGTTTCTATGTTTAAATACAGGTAGTTTCCCTTAAAATGGCATGATTGACTGTACGTTAGGTTGAGACCATCCTTACGTCTATGGCTTTCAGTTGATCCCAGTTTGCGTCAGCAGGACCCTTGCCCTGTTCTCGGGTCCACACGCTGCTGAGGAGCACTCTTTGGCACTTTGTCCTTACGACTTCCTGCTTCTATTTACAATGTCTTTCACAAGGTCAGTCCACACACTGTATGTCCATATACATTACATTTCTAGCATCCTCCCCATTTTGACCTAACAGTTAAGCAACACTTTTTCCCTCCCCCTAAGAGTCTTTGGATATTTCCCCTGCCTTCCTTTCCCAGCCCTAGTCAAGCATTTTCATTCCTTTTGAGGCACTTTTGATTCATGTTCTCCATTAGAGTTTGTGGCAATTTATTGGCGATTGCATGTCGTTGGGAAAGGCCTGTCTCAGGTCTTTAGTAGTAAGTGCCCAGATGGGAAGGCATGTGGCTGGCTGGCAGCCGCGTGTTCGGGTATATGCCTCCAGTGGGAGAATTCCAGTATGGGTTTGGGGCAGCAAAAAAACTGGATGATGTCACAGGTAGGGCCGGAGGGTGGGGGGCCACAAAGTTCATCTTCTGCGGGTGGGCGTGATAGGAGCCCATTCCCCTCAGTCTGCACCCACACACCCACTCTCCATCCACGTCCTCGGTCCCTCTGCTCGGCTCAGAGTTCCTGTAATACTGTAAGGTTGGAGACTTCGGGTTGGCTTCACAGTGTGAGAGAGCTGGTAGCTCTCCATCCAATGGAATGAATGTGATCTCACCTAAAACAGTAAGTGTGGATGAGTCCCGCATCAGTGTCTGCCGATGGGCCACTGTCTCTCGTCTTTGTTCTTTTTTCTTTTTGATATGTTTCTATGTTTAAATACAGGTAGTTTCCCTTAAAATGGCATGATTGACTGTACGTTAGGTCGAGACCATCCTTACGTCTATGGCTTTCAGTTGATCCCAGTTTGCGTCAGCAGGACCCTTGCCCTGTTCTCGGGTCCACACGCTGCTGAGGAGCACTCTTTGGCACTTTGTCCTTACGACTTCCTGCTTCTATTTACAATGTCTTTCACAAGGTCGGTCCACACACTGTATGTCCATATACATTACATTTCTAGCATCCTCCCCATTTTGACCTAACAGTTAAGCAACACTTTTTCCCTCCCCCTAAGAGTCTTTGGATATTTCCCCTGCCTTCCTTTCCCAGCCCTAGTCAAGCATTTTCATTCCTTTTGAGGCACTTTTGATTCATGTTCTCCATTAGAGTTTGTGGCAATTTATTGGCGATTGCATGTCGTTGGGAAAGGCCTGTCTCAGGTCTTTAGTAGTAAGTGCCCAGATGGGAAGGCATGTGGCTGGCTGGCAGCCGCGTGTTCGGGTATATGCCTCCAGTGGGAGAATTCCAGTATGGGTTTGGGGCAGCAAAAAAACTGGATGATGTCACAGGTAGGGCCGGAGGGTGGGGGGCCACAAAGTTCATCTTCTGCGGGTGGGCGTGATAGGAGCCCATGTAGGGGAGGTCCGAGGGGTACTTGTACAGGGAGGACTCAGGAGGGTGGGGCTGCAGGGCCTGGGCGATGCCATGGAAGTCAAACTTGTAGGCATAGCGCTTCCCGTGGACCTTGGTCATGATGTTCTTGTCATAGTAGTATCGGAGGGCGCGGCTGAGTTTGTCATAGTTCATGTTGGGTTTGCTCTTCCGCTCTCCCCAGCGCCGGGCCACCTCATCAGGGTCCGTCATCTTGAATTCGCCGTTGGTGCCTTCCCAGGTGATGCAGTTGGAGTTGGAGCTATCGGACAGCAGCTCCAGGAGAAACTGCCAGAGCTGGATCTGTCCGCTCCCTGGGGAGGTGGGGGAGAGAAGCAAACACCAGTGAGAACGGGCTTGGGTCTGCCACCCCGGAGCAGACTCAGGTGCCCTGGTCTTCCCCCCAGACTCCCTTCCCAGGCCCATGCACCCATCCCTCAGTGGCTGCTCTTGCCCTCCAGCACTCTGCAGCAGAGAGCATTCCTTAGCTGAACAGGAGTGCCTCACCCACCCCACAGAGCACAGAGGCTAGTCCCCTGCTCCTGAAAGGACCAGGCCGCCGATGCTGCTTGTGCTTCAGAGCCCCCCAGTGTCAGACAAGGCAGGGCTCTAGCTAAGGCCAGAGGTCCCTGGCTCTTCCCTTCCCTGTCCTGCTCATCGCCTCCCCATCGGAGAGCTTACACTTACTGATTACAGGCACGAGCACCCTCATCTCGAGCCCCCAGGGAGTGTGACCTAAGATGGTGCTCCTTGGTGACTCTGAGACTGACAGACAGACCCAAGTCCTATGGGAATGCAAAGAATTCCTATGGGGCAAAGCTGGTTTCATCCATTTCTGGCTTCCTTTAAAAAGTCAAGGCCAACTTTGTGTTTCGGCGGTGGAAGGGCTTATTTTTCCTATTTTGTGAAGCAAAAATGTCATCGTGTTGATGGCAATAATGACTTAATGCCATTTATATTGGCCAGGTCAAGTAAAATAATACAAGTCAGAATTAGGAAATGAACTCCTAAAAGTTTATGGAAAAAATAGAGAATGGAAGTAAACACCGTTATTTCTAACATAACATTTTGCTGGCACCCAGCAAGCAATTCTGTCAAAACTTTTCCTAGAACAGAATTAACCCACTCAAAATGAGGAAGTTTAGAAAAAAGTTGGCTGTTTTTCAAACCAGATCACCTATTTCCAGTATTTGGGCAAATGCATCGTAACGGAAATCCACGTGTTGCCCCTGCGGGGCAATGCCAACTGTGTGAAGAGTTTCCAAAAGAAAAACTGCAGCAGTGAGAGCCGGCGGGCCCTCCTGGGGAGTGGAACAAGACCCCTGCTTAGTGAGATCTCAGTTAGCCAGGTGTCCACAGTACCAAGTTCACTCAACCCTTTAAAGTTTTATTAAATTCAGATAAAAATCCTGGCACATCATTGTAGCCACCTTGTTATAATACTTGAAGATGATTTATGGCTTTCTAAAGGAGAGACACCTGTAAATAGCAACAGTACTGTTGAGTACTAAAGTGTCTTGAACAGATTTTTGAAGCTTTGAAAATGGGTAGAGGTAGGTCATTCCTCCTATATACTAGCTACGGCCCTACCTTGGGCATATTATCAAAAAGATTACATTTTATTATACTACCAGTAAATGCCAATAGATGTGATAAAATGATTAAAGTAACTTTAACTGGCAACAATTCAGAGAATTAGTGTAACGTAAAAATCAATTGTAAATTCATTTTTCTCTAAAGCCTTCCCACTAACTCCCTGTATAAATTGTCCAACTCATAAATCCTGTTTCCGCCTTGGCTACATGGAAATGGATATGTTCATGAATCCATCCATACAAAGAGCATCATGAGAAAGGTCAGCCTTTTCTAAAAATGTTCTGGAAAATTATCATTTTCAGTCTAGAGACACATTTGAAATGGATTAACAGCTTGTCATCCATTGCAATGGAAACCTTTGCTTTTTTGGGACCACATATTCAAACTGTTCTCAATCAAATGTTGTTGCCCCAACATTTCATTAATATGCATTTCAAAAAATATAAAGAGGGGTATGGGTGAGCATATGGTTTTAGTATATGTACTGTAACCAAAGGCTTACTGCTTGAAAAAAAATTCCATATATGACCTGGGAATAGGGAAAAACATGGATTTTTGATTTAACAGTCTAACATATGCTTCAATAAAAATACATAGAGTTGTTTGAGAATAAATATTCACTGTCAACCTCCTCCCACAGGGAGAGCGAGTCCACAGATTTTGCATAAATACACAGACCTTCCTAAACCGCCAAAATGATACTTAGTATCCATTCAAACCTTGGCACTGCCTCTCAGGAATCTGTCCCTTGCTCTTATGAACTTATCAACTTCCTTTATAAATATGTACAGGAGAGAACCAGTGAACAAAAGTGGTTTCATGTCTCTCCTACTTCTGAAGAATTAGATGGACAGGGACTTAAATTCATAGCTGGACACTCAAGGCTCAAAGGACAGATGCAGATGCACAATAAATATCTCAATAGACTTGACTATTTTACCCATCAGCCTTTAAGACACAGGGCTTAGGCCTCTGAGCATTTCAAGGGTCTGTGGGAATAAGAGATCTGGAAAGAAAATTCATCAGCTTTCAAAGCTGAGAACAAAACTGTAAGTGCAAAAGCAATTAGTGTTTAAGTAAATGGTATAAACTGTAACATTATGTCAAGCTCATTAACTATTACATTTAATATTTGTAACAAAACCCACTGCATGCCAGTACAGAGCAGATTTTCTTTCTGTACAAGAATTCCCCAGGATGCGCAATGGTTATTGAGAATCACAGTCAATGATAAACTAAATGAGTTACTCATGGCCACAGAATTTCAAAAGCAATTTATTAAATTCTTATTTTCCTGTCAAAACATGAACACTTACTGTGCTGTAAGGGTGCATTTTTGAATATAGAATAGGGACTCCAAAATGAATACCTGAGGTTTAGGAAGCGGGAGAGTGGCTGGGGTCCTGCACGCCACACCCCCAAGTACATGAAGCAGCTTTTACAAGACAGGACCTTGCATCCGAACAGCATCGTCCTCCCCACCTCAGAGGTCACTTTTCTTGGGTAAAACCCTTCATATTTATTTTCTCACTGTATCTTGATAATATTCTTGCTACATCAATAAAGACTAGCTAGCTAATTTCATGTGCAGCGTAATTACCCAAAAAGCCAGGATAGGGGGTAAAAACCAAAGCTGGAGGCTACCAGCCAGCTACTTGAGTGACCAGTAGGTCACAGCAGAGAGGCGCGTGGCTCCAAAAGACAACCTTCAATTTTTAGGATAGTGTTCTCTTAATGGGATTGAAAGAAAAGAAGAGGAACAGCAGCAAAGAGACACAGACTGAACAAAAACGGGCAAAACACCAAAGCGGTTTACAAACCACAGAGACAAGCGGGGCTGGGAGTGACTCAGCAGCTGTGGGTCAAGTAGGAGAGACGCTGCAGTAAATAAGGCAGAGAGACGCCCAGCAAGCATTCTGGTGGCAGTGTCTGAGGCCACTTCCTCCAGGTGCTGGGGTGCTGCAGAAAACACCATGTGCACACCTGGACCCTCCACCGTGTTGAGATCAAGACAGCAGGAGTGTCCCAAGTGGACCTTTGCCCACATGGCTCAGATAGGACTTGTAGGGCAGACAGGGTAGGAGGGTGGGTGGCAGCACCACTGTGCAGTTGGCACTCTCAGCTGATCCCAGCTTGGCCCCCTCGGGCACCTTGGGCAGCTCACCTAGCTCTCTGCGCCTCAGGGTCCTCATCTGCAAAACTGGAGGTGACATAATAGTGCTATCTTGCAGGGTCACCACGAGGATAAACTCAGTACATGAACACTCTTACATGGTTTGTTTGGCTGAAAATCAGAATTTGAAGAAAGGTACACCCCTTGCCTAGAGCCGGGAGATGCAGAAAGGAAGACACGTGTCCCCAGGAGCCCCTGTGCAGAAGCTGGGGACAGTGTTCTTGGGGCTGGCTGATAATCCACAAAATGTGCCAGGCACCATTCTGAACATTTTGCATGTGTTTCTTTAATCTCTTCAAGAATCATGTGATTGCCCATTGTGAGAATGAGGAAATTAGATCAGCAAAGAGACACAGACTGAACAAAAACGGGCAAAACACCAAAGCGGTTTACAAACCACAGAGACAAGCGGGGCTGGGAGTGACTCAGCAGCTGTGGGTCAAGTAGGAGAGACGCTGCAGTAAATAAGGCAGAGAGACGCCCAGCAAGCATTCTGGTGGCAGTGTCTGAGGCCACTTCCTCCAGGTGCTGGGGTGCTGCAGAAAACACCATGTGCACACCTGGACCCTCCACCGTGTTGAGATCAAGACAGCAGGAGTGTCCCAAGTGGACCTTTGCCCACATGGCTCAGATAGGACTTGTAGGGCAGACAGGGTAGGAGGGTGGGTGGCAGCACCACTGTGCAGTTGGCACTCTCAGCTGATCCCAGCTTGGCCCCCTCGGGCACCTTGGGCAGCTCACCTAGCTCTCTGCGCCTCAGGGTCCTCATCTGCAAAACTGGAGGTGACATAATAGTGCTATCTTGCAGGGTCACCACGAGGATAAACTCAGTACATGAACACTCTTACATGGTTTGTTTGGCTGAAAATCAGAATTTGAAGAAAGGTACACCCCTTGCCTAGAGCCGGGAGATGCAGAAAGGAAGACACGTGTCCCCAGGAGCCCCTGTGCAGAAGCTGGGGACAGTGTTCTTGGGGCTGGCTGATAATCCACAAAATGTGCCAGGCACCATTCTGAACATTTTGCATGTGTTTCTTTAATCTCTTCAAGAATCATGTGATTGCCCATTGTGAGAATGAGGAAATTAGATCCCAAAGAGGTGGAGCGACTTATCTTCTGTCAGAAAGGGCTGGAACTCGGACACCAGGTTTTGATGCTGAATTACTGCACAGGCCACTGCTTTTGGGCCTGGTTTCTGCACACAGCTCCACAATCCTCTCACATTCCCCCAAACTATCCCCACCCTGGGCCTGGAGATTGGGAGGTCCCCAGTGGAAAACGGGACACTCCTCCCTCCTAAGAAATGTGAAAAGATCCCTGGAATCAGTCTCTGGTACGGCATGGAGCAGGACACATTTTCGGGCCCACAATTAAAGACTACCTAGTTAATATCAAGGGAGCCACTGAACGTAACCCAGGAAAGCTCTGCCCTGGAAAGGCAATTTCCGTTCATTAGGGGAGCCACACTGAGTCCTCAGCCATCCCGAGAGACATAAAAGAGTCGGGTCTCTCATCTCTGATCCACGACCCAGTAACACAGGGACTCACTTCTCTCAAAAGGAGAAACGTGGTCCCGCGTGCACCAAATGAATATTCACTCTGGGCATGTTGAGATGCTGTTAGCATCTTGTACATTCATACTGCCTGTCGTCGTCTTTCCATTTAAAATGATTAAAAAGAGGCTGCCCTGTATAAAGAGCAAAGGTAGCAATTTTAAGTGGTGAAGGATTTATTTATCAGAGAATGGGAAAATAGAATCAAACAGGAAGATGCATTCTCATTAACAGCAAGATAAAAGATTCTGGTTTCATGGGGAAAGGCCACACGAATGCAACTGACTCGCAGCCTAAGGAGAGGTGGGGAGGCCTGCCTCTGTGCATGAGGCAGAAGCAGTCTCTACCTTCACATCAGGACTTGGATGTAGCCACTTTCCCCAGGCCCAACAAGAAGGGCCTCAGTGGTACAAAGCGTGGTCCTTTGCTCTCCAGGCCAGTGCTGCCGATGTGTTATGAGCCCAGACGTTCTCCCAGGCCTGTGATGGGCCTGCAGTCTCCTCCTGCCCTGCCCAGGTCCCTCTGCCCACAGCGGGCATCTCCAGGCTGCACTAGTGTGCCATCATGAGAGCTGATGCTCTGGCCCCACTGTCCGTGAGCTTTGACCCAGCCACACCTGTGAGCTTTGACAATACGGATGTGGATATGTCTTTCATTTAGCCAACTTGTGTGAGTGACAAGGTCAGGTTGGTCTTGTTGGTAGCCTGACACCTTCCTCCTCTTCATCCCTGACCCATCATCCCATGCACTAAATGATCATTAAACTGAATGGAAATCCTTCCTTTCTATCCTCTTGGCCCCTGTTCTCCGAGCCCTCCCGCGTCCTTCATACTTAGTCAGGGCCAGTGTAGGGCAAGAAAATAAAAGCACACTTTGGAGACAGTCACGGTTCAAATCTGGCTTCCCTTTGTATTGGCTGTGCGACCCAGGGAAAGTTACCTAATGTCTCTGGACCTGATTTCTCTTCTGTAGGATGAAGATAATGACCTCCGAGGGCTGTTATGAGATGGGACCACTGTCATGCCCAGGCATTACATGGGGCGGGAGCTATGTGATTGTTATTTCACATGATTGTATTAATGTTCCCAGAGTGTTTCAGCTTCCGTCCTTTTCCTCTTTCTAATCTGTCATGAACATTGCTGCCAGATCAGTCTTCCTGAAGCATGACTGATAATAATAATCTCAAAACATAGTGCTCATTTTTATCTGAATGGTGATGGAAGTAGCTGCAAATGGAACATTGAGCACATGAATGAGGAGGGACCGAGACCCTGGAGGCTTGGCACCCAGCTGGGTGTTCACAGAAGAGAACAAAGCCGGTGGCCCCATGGTTTGGAAAGGGCTGTAAATACCTGAGCCTATTTCTCCAACAGAATGTAAGGTCCTTGAGGATCCAAAATGGTATCGCCTTATTCCTTGCGTCCATTTATTCAACAAATAATTATTGAACACCTGATCTAGGTCCCAGTCCCTTCTTATTGCCCAGATGCTTAAAAAATTTCCTAAGTTATAACATGAATTAAAATGTAATGCCAAAGATATAGACAGTCAGTAATGATATGTCATGTTCTCAAAGGATAGATTCCCCTATAGGCATCTCCGCTGACTGAAACTGAATTTTCCCATTTCCAACCCTATTTTGGCCTCAATGTTTGGGAAATATACATTCCAGCTTGTGCTTGCAATATGTCTGTGACATTTTAGCATCTGAATTTGCTGTTGAGAAAATACCGCATATGCTGTGAATTTCTGAAACTGATGCCAGCGCAGCTGGTTCTGATCTGAATGCAAACAAATAAAATAATTTGGTTGGCACTGAAATGTGATGACAGGTGACAATCCCTGGCAAGGTATGGGTTACAAATGGGCCAGAAAAGGATCTGCACTTTCTTCTAGCACCTAAGTTCAGAAACAGAGCATTCATTGAAGATGATCTTCAACTTGAAGTCTTTTGGCTGTAATTCAGGATCTCCTTTTAAAATCTTATTTTATCTGCTTCAATGATGGGTTGAATTGTGTCCCTCACCAAATTCACATGTTGGGAGTCCTAGCCCCCAGTACTGCAGAATGTGATCTTATTGGGAAATAGAGTCTTTACCCAGTTGATCAAGTTGAAGTGAGGTCTTAGAGTGGGTTCCAATCTAATATGACTGGTGTCCTTATAAAAGGCGGAAATTTTACAGAGACATATGCAGAGGGGAGACCAGGCAAGAAGACACATGCAGAAGATGGGCATCTACTAGCCAAAGGCAGAGGTCTGGGAGAGATGCCCCCTCTCATGGCTCTCAGAAGGAATTACCTTGCCAACACCTGACACGTTGAGTTTGGACCTCTGGCCTCCAGAACTGTGAGACAATGAATGTCTATTGTCTAAGCCCCTAGTCTGTGGTGCTTTATTACAGCAGTCCTAGGGCTTGGATTAGTTAATAATGCTCTTTTCTGAAGAAGCTGAACTCTTAATTGATAACCAGACTCATTTTTTTCCTCTCAGGAAAATTATACAGTGAGACCTAAAACTAAAACTTGTTCCATTGAAGAGATTTCTCATAACACAAATTTATCTTTCAAGATAGCCACTGCCAAAAAGGTAACTGTGTAAAAGCAAAATCATCAGCAGTGTCTCACCTGGATTTGCAAGGCGGCTACTTGTTGGTCCAAGAATCTGATAAGGATCTATAGCAAAAGAAAACAAGTCAAATTCCAAAGACGTGGTATGACGTAACCACAGACATAACACTGACCCACTTGAGTTTCCAGATCTCACAGTTAAACATCCCCCATGCCAAAGTCACCTAGCACCACTTCCTGTATTAAATATGTCACATGGGATTGAGAAGTTTCTTGCTAACAGCCTCCTATCTGGTGGCAGAGCTCAGACTTGGCTCAGGGTTCCTGACACCAGGCCAGGGCTCTTGCCATCCCAGGATATCAATAGGGCACGTGTGCGATGAGTCCCCACTTGGCCCCAGGGCCATGTTGGCTGTGCTGATGGACACACCGGCAACAGCAGCCTTCCATTGCATTTCCATACTGGGCTTGGCATAAATGCTGACATCCCCACATGCGGCCTCAAGGGCAAAATTAAATAGATTCATACGTTGCAAAGAAGTAACCTGTGTGCAAGCAGAATGCTTTTTCTGTATTGACTGCCCAGGTTTTGGAAATGTTTTAGCAAAATCTCAAGTCATCCCGGCTGAGTAGATTAATAATCTGGTCCCCATTTTTATATATGAGGGATTCATGAAGAAGAAAAAGTAACCATTCAGTTTGTTAAGAAGGTGACAATTTTAGAAATACAGTTTCTTCCCTTAATGGCCATTGGGAAGTTCCCTGAAACATACCTAACTGAGGACGCTGGTCTTCAGTTTTGGGCACTGTGGAAGGAGACGGTTGAGCAGCTGAAAATCCAAACACAAAAGAGACGATTAACTAAAACTTATATGGGCCACTAGTCTTTGATGCTGTTGTATCACCATTTCATCAACTACCTTAGTTATTAACATAATAGTCTAACTCTTGTAATAAACATCTATGGTAAGGAAAGAATTTCCTCTCTAATGAAACCAAATGTAAATTAGACACTGAAGTACAAAAAGGAGGGCACT